TTTTGTTTTTGTATTGAATTTATTTTAATTTTGTATATAAGTATGGTGATTGTACTGCATTTATAAGATATTCTGTGCAGAGAATGGGTTTTTTGTTGCACTATAATGAGGTTCCGCTGGTCACCATAGTTGTTCCACGTCACCTGTCTCTAAAAATAGTAGTTTCTTTGACACACACACTGGCTTGAGAAAGGAGTGCAAATGCTCTGAAACGCGTAGCCAACTACATCCAGCTGTTATGAGGTAACTGTGACAAACACAGTGGCAGACCACTGCCCTTTTCGCCAGCTTGTGACAAACGTCAACCCCACACGGCATGCAACAGTGACACTCTCTGCCTCACCCTGTACAAAGATTTTGAAGCTTGAGGGACCACAAACTAAGTGCCAAAAGACTGAGAGCGATTGTCACTGGTTTTGATAAACTAAGCAACTAACTCTATACTCTGCTACTAAATAGGGGTTTGGCTTATCATCTGTTCACTACATTAGCAAAGGCAATTTATTACTTTAAATAAATGTCCACACTGTCACCACCCACTACTTTTATAGAGAAGTAGTAAACTTTCACAAGGTTAGCAATAGCAACTTATGATTTTAGAATAATGTAAGTAACACACACTTTTGAAAATATGGTTTAATAATGAAAAGGTCAAAAAATGATGCAAAGAAAATATTTACAGAAAAGGGTATTACAAAGAGACAACAATGCAACAGAGAAATAAAAAAGAGTTGAGTGTGAGAATACTTAACAATGTTCTGCTTCGGCAGAGTCCAATCAATCAAGCGAGATGGTAAGTTTAAGTATACAATACGGTAAATCCTCCAAACAACCCAATAAACTACTTGATTCCGAATAGAAAATAACTTTCAGCCCTAGAAAGTTGCAAACATCAAAAATTGATCTAAAAGAATCATCCAACCTACCTACTAGTGAAAAACCACCTCTTCCAAAATATCAATAAGTGCTCTACAAATGATAAATGTCCAAACACATAAATTCACACAAGATATTAAATAAGTGTCCAGTGTCTTATAGTCCAAAATAAAAATATTTTAATACGTCCCACTTGAAATCACTTCTTTATAGTGTTGTAATCCTCAGAACAGCTTCCACGGAAACCCTCAAAAAATCAAAAAAATCAACATAGTGCATTACCTTAATATCTTTAAAAATAATAACACTCCATACGTGCAACCACAAATATTAGTGCAAAAAACGTGAAAAAAGAAAACACAGCAATGCTTGTGCCAAACTGGTGATGTGTTTCACTCAGTGTAAACCACTTCAAATAGTGTATCACTTCTAATACTCATAGCATATATACCCTTACCCTAATAAAATAAAAAAAAACGCTGTAAGATATCTAGTAGAGGACTCTGTAAAAAAACACTCAATCTCCTTGCCTCCACTCCTGACGTTATGATTAGAATCTCATCCCCTCATGGTACCGTAAGCCAGTTCCCCGGTCTCCCAGCTCCACGCAGGATGTATATGAAAAGATTATAGTGTAATTCCGTATCATACAATGAAATAAACTTTAATGAATCTGCTTACATGTATAAATAATAATCAGCACATTAAAAGAAACCCCACACAGCTGGGGATTACCAGGCAGCTTCCAGGTGGATAACAGTGCGGCTCCACACTTCAAAATGGCCACCAAATCACTTCTGGTTCCTGCTCTGTGCATCCAACGTCACTTCCCCTTACAGCGTTTTTTTTTTTTTCATTTTATTAGGGTAAGGGTATATATGCTATGAGTATTAGAAGTGATACACTATTTGAAGTGGTTTACACTGAGTGAAACACATCACCAGTTTGGCACAAGCATTGCTGTGTTTTCTTTTTCACATTTTTTGCACTAATGTTTGTGGTTGCACGTATGGAGTGTTATTATTTTTAAAGTTATTAAGGTAATGCACTATCAAAATAAAAATAAATGTGGTAGAATCCTCAAACCCCTGCCAACTACCCAATTCTAAATAGAAACCACTTTCCACCCTAGAAAGTTACAAACATCAAAAGTATTTTTTCTAGAAAGAATCCTCCCACCACTAGTGATATATACCCTATTCACACAGTGATAAAATCAACAATAATAAATCCTAACCATCAGTGTATTACCACATATATACTCTATTTATAAGTGTCCAATATATTATATTCCAAAAATTCCACAAAAAAGTGAGAAAAATTAAAATGTCCCACTCAAAGTCACTCTTTGTATTGTTTGAAGATCCTCACAAGTCAGCTTCCACACAGATCCTCAAAAAAATCAAAAGCTCAACATAGTGCATTACCATTAAATAGCACTCCACACGTGTTTTATAGAAGTGCAAAACGTGAGAAAAACAACCACAGCAACTTGTGCCACAACAGTGATGTGTTACACTCAGTGTGCTCACTACTATGGTGTCTAAATCCTCATGCTTATAGATTATATACCCTTACCAGAGAACAAAATCTCAAAATCGTTGTAAGGTACAATCTAGACTCCTTGTCTCCATTCTCCAATCTCATCCCCTCCTGGTATCATCAGCCAGTTCCCTGGTCACTCAGATCCATACAGGATATATGGGACAATGATAGTGTAAATCCGCAAAATATCGTTAAAATATACTTTAATATATCCGCTTACATGAATATAACGACAAATGCGCAATCCAAGTAAAAACCCCACTGCCTGGGGATTGCCACACAGCTCCTGGGTGGATCTCCTCACGATTCCCCACTCAAAGATGGCCGCCGTGTTACTTCCGGTTCCTGCTCTGTACATCCAACGTCACACTCTGACGCGTTTCGTCACATCCGGGACTTAATCTTAAGGGATTAATGGAGTGGGGAATCGTGAGGAGATCCACCCAGGAGCTGTGTGGCAATCCCCAGGCAGTGGGGTTTTTACTTGGATTGCGCATTTGTCGTTATATTCATGTAAGCGGATATATTAAAGTATATTTTAACGATATTTTGCGGATTTACACTATCATTGTCCCATATATCCTGTATGGATCTGAGTGACCAGGGAACTGGCTGATGATACCAGGAGGGGATGAGATTGGAGAGTGGAGACAAGGAGTCTAGATTGTACCTTACAACGATTTTGAGATTTTGTTCTCTGGTAAGGGTATATATATAATCTATAAGCATGAGGATTTAGACACCATAGTAGTGAGCACACTGAGTGTAACACATCACTGTTGTGATACAAGTTGCTGTGGTTGTTTTTCTCACGTTTTGCACTTATATAAAACACGTGTGGAGTGCTATTTAATGGTAATGCACTATGTTGAGCTTTTGATTTTTTTGAGGATCTGTGTGGAAGCTGACTTGTGAGGATCTTCAAACAATACAAAGAGTGACTTTGAGTGGGACATTTTAATTTTTCTCACTTTTTTGTGGAATTTTTGGAATATAATATATTGGACACTTATAAATAGAGTATATATGTGGTAATACACTGATGGTTAGGATTTATTATTGTTGATTTTATCACTGTGTGAATAGGGTATATATCACTAGTGGTGGGAGGATTCTTTCTAGAAAAAATACTTTTGATACCTTTAAGGTAATGCACTATGTTGATTTTTTTGATTTTTTTGAGGGTTTCCGTGGAAGCTGTTCTGAGGATTACAACACTATAAAGAAGTGATTTCAAGTGGGACGTATTAAAATATTTTTATTTTGGACTATAAGACACTGGACACTTATTTAATATCTTGTGTGAATTTATGTGTTTGGACATTTATCATTTGTAGAGCACTTATTGATATTTTGGAAGAAGTGGTTTTTCACTAGTAGGTGGGTTGGATGATTCTTTTAGATCAATTTTTGAAGATGGTAGGTTGGCTCCAGGGGCGGACTGACAACTCATGGGGCCCCTGGGCAATAGGGGATCATGGGGCCCTGTGTCCTCACCCACACTCAAACCACACCCAAAAAAGCCTATGAAAAGGTACCAGGGGCATCTCATGGGTCCCCCTACTGACCCCAGGCTCTCGGGCAGTGCCCGAGTTCCCAAATGGTCAGTCCACCCCTGGTTGGCTCTTATACAACTTGACAAATGTTCCTTGGTTTGATGGTTAATGATTGCTAAGAACTTGCAGGGTAGCTTCCTTTTCTTGCTTGAGAGGGGGGTGTTGTCAGAAATTATCTGACCAATCAAGAAGCTGAGGGGTGGTCATGGGCTGTCTCTGTGTTTATGATCATGCCACAGATCCAGTTTTCTATAGGTATTGATATCTTTGAATACCTACAGTACATGTTACAGTCTGCTAATGTGCATTTCATTGTCCAGCATTGAATTACCTTCAGAATGAACACAGATATGACAGGTTTTGGATTCCCAGCTCGCCTAGGAGAGGAATTGGGCCATTTCTTTTCTCATTCCTCCTAGGGTACCGGTGTTTGAGCTCAAAATGTTACAAGGTAATGGATGGAGGTAAATATGTCCTTATTCTGGTTGTACTGTTATTATTTCATGAATTATGAAATACACTGGGAGTATGAATTCTACCAAGAGTAAGAGAAAGAAATGTTTATTGCTGATCCAGCTAAAGTATTTGCAACGGTTAAATGACTGATGTACCTGAGAGCAGACCAGGTATCTGTTACAAATCTACCGTATTTTCCGGCGTATAAGGCGACTGGGTGTATAAGACAACCCCTAATTTTCCAGTTAAAACATAGGTTTTAGGCTATACTCGTCGTATAAGACTACCCTCCTTCTGAGGCAACACCATTTAACCCCTAGCCTACAGGGCACTTATACCCACTTCCCCCCAGGCCAATTTTCAGCTTTCAGCGCTGTCACACCTTGAATGACAATTGCGCGGTCATGCAACACTGTACCCATATGAAATAGGTGGCACTGATGGCCACTGATGAGGAGGCACTGGTAGGTGGCACTGATGGGCATTGACAGGCATCACTGATGGGCATGGAAAGGCAGCACTGATACATGGCACTGATAGGCGGCATTGATAGGCAGCACTGACTGCCACTGTTAGGTGGCACTGACTGGCACTGATGCGCACTGATAGGCGACACTGACTGGCACTGATAGGTGGCACTGATTGGCAGCGCTGACTGGCACTGTTAGGTGGCACTGATGGGTGACACTGAAAGGCAGCTCAGATGGGCACTGATATGTGGCATTGATGTGCACTGGTAGGCACTGATATGTGGCATTGATGTGGCACTGATGGACACTGACAGCTGGCACTGCTGGGGCTACACAGATCATCAGGGCACACTGATCATCAGTGCCCTGATGATCAGTGTACATGTCTCCTCTGCGGAAAGCCGATTACCGGCTCTCCTCTCCTCTGTCAGCGTGACAGCTCGAGAGGAGAGAAATGCCGATAACCGGCATTTCCCTGTTTACATGTGATCAGCTGTGATTGGACACAGCTGATCACATGACCGAGCCTGTGTTGCCTTCACAGGCTAATTGAATTGAAGTTACTTATATGGGACATGTAGTGAACCACTGCCATCTAGTGGCAAACATGAATGGCAGGTCTCCTCTGCATATGTAAGCTCTCAGACAGGAAATGACTCTTGGTTTAGGAAGCTCGTCAGCCATTTTAGACTTCTATTAACTGTGGATGCAGTGTGCTTGCTTCTCTCCCAAGGGGCTTGAGACATCATCACCTGTAAGTGCCTTTCTTCTGTGTCATCTGTCATTTATGTTACACTAGTTATTCTATGTATACTGATATGCTGTTATTGTATTGTGTTTCAGTTTCACCTATAAAATAAAGTTGGATTCTTTGGTAGACAACACAAGCAGTGGGCTTCTGTTTGCTGGAGATTCTGACAAGGGTTTAGCTGTCCGTTTAGAGCCACACATAGTCAGTGTTTTGAGAACGGAACAGTGAAAAGGTGTAGCGCAACAAGCCTGGAGATAGGAGTCACTGCACAGACAGAATGAGTCTAAGATCAGGAAGACAGTATAAGGCTGAAGATCAGTCACCCGGGACACATCAAGGCAGGGAGAGCATGCCAAGTGTCCAGCAAGATGATGCACGCTCACACTCGTCTAGATCAGCAAGGTCCAGTCAGATTTCATCAGCAAGTGCCCTTTTAGCCAGAGCTCGCGCCAAAGCAGAGGCAGCTCGTGTTCAGCTAGAATTCGCTGAGAAAGAGGCCACCGTTATGAAGGAAATTGCTGAGAAAGAAGCCGCCGCTGCAGCAGCAGAGGCTGCCATTATAAAGGAAAGGGCTGAGAAAGACGCCGCCGCTGCAGCAGCAGAGGCTGCCATTATGAAGGAAAGATCAGAGAAAGAAGAAAAATCAGAACAAGAAGCAAAGTTGCATATTCTTCAGCGTCAGTGTGCAGCTGCCGCCGCCGCAGCAGAGGCCGCAGCTTATGCTGAAATGGAACGGTATGGAAGTGGGTCTATCCACGAAGGCCCATGTGTGCCTGAGAAACCCCTCTTCTCAGTAGAACGCACAAGGGAGTATGTCCAAGAACATTCAAGCAGCAATGCTACAAAACAGTTCCCTAATCCAGAGTCAGCTGAATCTAAACCAAGACCAGCAGAATCCCTGAGTGTACAAAAACAAACCAATCCAGAATCAGCTGAATCTAAACCAAAACCAGCAGAACCCCTGGGTGTATGAAAACAAACCGATGAGGCCAGCAGTACCAAAGCGATTAAAAATGAATCCTTAGTACAGCAATCCAAACACCAGAGTACACAAGATGTCACTAAATATCTTATCCGAAAAGAAATGGTTAATTCGGGCTTTCTCAAGTTTGATGACTGCCCTGAGAATTACTGGGCATGGAAGTCTTCTTTTCTGTATGCAGTCAAAGACTTAGGCTTATCAGCAGCCGAGATGCTGGACCTGATGATAAAATGGCTTGGGACGGAGTCAGCAGATAATGCAAGAAGGATGCGCAGGGTACATATATTTAACCCTCCAGCAGGACTTGATATGGCCTGGCAAAGGCTAGAGGAGAGATATGGATCACCAGAGGCAATTGAAGGTGCTCTAATGAAAAGACTTGAGTCTTTCCCCAAGCTAAACAGCAAAGACAACTTGAAACTGCAAGAGCTGGGTGATATTCTTTGGGAAGTCCAGTGTGCCAAAGAAGAAGGCTATTTAAGAGGACTTGCACATTTAGATACCGCCAGCGGTACTAAGCCAATAGTGGAGAAACTACCTCACAACCTGCAAGAAAAATGGGTGAGTGTTGGAGCCAAATACAAAGAGAAGAATATGATGTCCCCTTCCCCCCTTTCTTTGTGTTTTCTAGATTTGTACAGCAGCAAGTAAGGATCCGGTGTGATCCCAGCTTTTCCTTCATCACCAGCAGTCAACTGCCAAAGGCAGAAAAGCCACTTAGACCCTACAATAGGACTTCAGTGATCACCCACAAGACAACGGTTCCCTCTGAGGACCCAGGCTGTCCAAGCAGCTACAAGGTAAACATCTTTGAAGGTCCTGACAGACTTTGCCCACTTCATAAAAAGCCCCATCCTCTAAACAAGTGCAAAGGGTTCAAAAGTAAACCCATCAAGGAAAGGATAGCCTTTCTTAGACAAAACGGCATCTGCTTCAAGTGTTGTGGATCCACTAAGCATGTAGCAAAAGACTGCAAAATACAAGCGGATTGCTCAGAATGTGGCAGTAACAGACACATCACAGCTTTACACCCTGATACATTGCATCAACCACTAGAGGTCGCTGAAGAGCAGAAAGATGAGGGCAGCAAGCAAAAGGATAATTCAGCTACCCCAGTAATGTCCAAATGCACTGAAATCTGTGGCGACAGTACAAGTCCACGCTCATGTGCCAAGATCTGCCTAGCAACAGTGTACCCCACAGGGAAAAAGGAGAAGGCAGTTAAGATGTATGTAGTTCTGGATGAACAGAGTAACAGGTCACTGGCAAGGTCAGACTTTTTCGATGCCTTCAATATTACATCAAGTGCTATCCCATACACCCTAAAGACATGTGCAGGAATGATAGAAACTTAAGGAAGAAGAGCTACTGACTTTACTATTGAGTCTCTTGACAAGAGAGTCCATCTCTCACTTCCCATTTTGATAGAGTGTGATATGATACCGGATGATAAAACAGAGATCCCTTCATCAGAAGTAGCCTGTCATCATCCTCATCTCAATTCAATATCTCACCTATTCCAGCTATCCAGACAGATGCCTCTGTTCTACTTCTTGGGAGAGACATTCTACAAGTACATAAGGTACGCCAACAAATTAATGGGCCCTTTAATGCCCCCTATGCCCAAAGACTTGACCTAGGGTGGGTCATAGTAGAAGTTTGTCTAGGAGCAGTACATCGGCCTGACAGTGTCAATACGTCAAAGACATCTGTGCTACTGAATGGACGCACATCCCTTCTAAGTCCATGCCAAAACAGCTTTGTTGTGAAAGAAACCCTTAACATCCCAAAACCATACTGTGACTTTCCTTCTAGTTACAATAGAGACATTAGTAGTGGCATGGAGTCTGACACTTTAGGGAACTCAGTATTCCAGAGAACAAAAGATGACGACAAACAAGCAATGTCTATAGATGATCGAGCTTTTCTCCATATCATGGATAAAGAGACTTTCCAAGATGAAAACAACAATTGGGTAGCTCCCTTACCCTTTCGCACACACCAAGGTGTTACTTACCCAGTAACAGAGAGCAGGCCATGAAGCGCCTGAACACACTATGTAAAACCTTGCAAAGAAAGCCTGAAGTGAAAAAAGACTTTACAGAATTCATCAAAAGGATGCTTGATAATAATCACGCTGAAGTAGCACCGTCACTGGATGAAGGTAAAGAACACTGGTATCTGCCAATGTTTGGCGTTTACCATCCACACAAGCCAGACCAAATAAGAGTTGTGTTCGATTCCAGTGCTCAACATGGAGGTGTTTCATTGAATGATGTACTACTGAGTGGCCCAGATCTAAATAACACACTTCTAGGTGTCCTCCTACGCTTCAGAAAAGAGCCTATTGCTTTCACAGGTGATGTGCAACAGATGTTTTATTGTTTCCTAGTGAGAGAGGACCATCGTGACTACCTGCGTTTCCTGTGGTACAAGGATAATGACATAGCTAAAGAGGTGACAGAGTACAGAATGAGAGTACATGTTTTTGGTAACAGCCCGTCTCCTGCTGTTGCCATATACTGCATGCGCAAAGCTGCCCAGAAAGGTGCAGAATGTTATGGTCAAGATGCCAAACACTTTGTGATGAGACATTTCTATGTAAGCGATGGACTTGCTTCAGCTAACACACCTGAAGGAGCAGTCGACATTCTCAACAAAGCAAAACAGATGCTGGCGGAGTCTAATCTGCGACTACATAAGATTGCCTCTAACAGCAAACAAGTCATGGAAGCTTTCACCGCAGAAGATAGAGCTAAAGATCTCAAAGACCTGTGCCTGGGAACAGACACCCTTCCTTTACAGAAGAGTTTAGGCCTAAGCTGGGATCTAGATAAAGACTGCTTTGTGTTTCAGGTTTCTTTAGCAGAAAAGCCATTCACAAGAAGAGGGATCCTATCCACTGTGAACAGTCTTTATGATCCTCTGGGGTTTGTAGCACCAGTCACCATAAAAGGTAAGGCCTTAGTTCGTGAACTGTCAAGTGGAGAAAGTGAGTGGGATGCCTTACTTCCACAAGAGAGACTCCATGAGTGGGTCCAATGGACAGAGTCTTTACAAGCTTTACAATGTCTTCAAATTTCCAGATGTTATGTTCCTGTTTCATTGTCACAGGCCTGCAAGAGAGAACTGTACATCTTTTCAGATGCCTCTGTTATAGCAATAGGTGCATTCGCTTACTTGAAGGTAAGTGATGCAGGAAATGTCTGTCATGTTGGATTCGTAATGGGAAAATCCAAACTGAGCCCTAGGCCGGCACATACAATTCCACGCCTAGAGTTATGTGCAGCTGTACTAGCGGTTGAACTGTAGTGAGAGACGAGATAGACCTGAGCCTAGATGCTGTGAAATTCTTTACAGACAGTAAAACAGTTTTAGGGTATATCTGCAACACTACAAAGAGATTCTTCTTGTATGTCTCCAATCGGGTGAATAGGATCAGACAAACAACCTGTCCAGAGCAGTGGTTCTACGTACCCTCAGAACAAAATCCTGCAGATTATGCTACCAGGCCTACACAGATAGCTTGCCTTCAGAACTCTATATGGTTCTCAGGTCCACCTTTTCTGTATCAGACAGCTGTAGATAGTCCTGATGACAACAATGTTTATCCTTTAGTGGATCCTGAAGCTGATCCTGAAATTAGGTCAGAAGTAGTAAACTTCAGTACTAAAGCCTTTGACACCATACTACGGCCGCATTGTTTCGAAAGATTTTCCAACTGGAAGAGACTAAGCAGGGTTATAGCAAAATTAATTCATGTTGCCAAAAGCTTCCAAAAGAAAACGAATGATGATCAACCCGGAAGCTGGGGAGTTTT